ATGTTCCTCGTTGTTTTCGTGATAAATTGTTCGATGTAAAGCCAAAGAACGAACAGTCGAAAAAGATTCGTCACAATAACGACAATGAAAATTCCTCTCATGGTATAATCTCTTATGCTTCGTCAACGTATTCTGTGTTTTTAAAACACTAGAACATAAATCACAAGAAAAGTGCTTCTCTTTAACATGTATATCATAAGACTTATTATCAGGAAATTCTAACGAACATATTTTGCAAAAAACCATATTCGTAAAAGTACCTTGTATGATGAACCAATCTCTTTATCTCTTATGAACCTTTGCTCTGGCCCCAGACGCTCTGACTGAATTGAAAAAAAGCTCTCGCTTTTATAGCTAGACCGAAGTATTGTATGCTAATTTCAAACTATTTTTAAAAAATAGACGTCATTATTACTGAACAAAAAAAATTTGAAGTTTATTCATTTTCAAAGCTAAAAAAATCTAAGTTATTCCTTATTTAAAAATTAAAGTTTTTTTCAAAACCCAAAATTTGAAGTTCCTTCGAATAACTTCAAATAAAAAAAATTTGAAGTTTTTATAAATTTGAAGTTTTTTTCTTATTTGACTTTAAACAATAGACGCTTCTCAGTAACCAATCATATGAATGACATTTAAAGATTTAAAATATTAGCCAATAGTAAAGCTCCACATTTAACATCCGTTGCGTAATATGTCAATCATTTATAAAATCACTTAACCAACTCCCAAATTCACAAACTGTCACACCAACGAACGTAATTTTGAAAGAAGTCGAAAAAAATGACGAACAATCAAGCATTCGAAGTAAAAAAAGCTATCGATTCAGCCTTTACGGACGACGAAGAAGATTTAATTCCGTTATCTTTATTGTCCAAAAGACTACTGGCATCGTGAGTATATTTCTTTTCTTTTTACTCTTTTTTAAACTGTTCATTTAGTTTAATTAACTTACACATCTTTTAAAAACACTTTTCGAATTTTTTTATTAAACTTCAATTTTTTCATTTAGACGCCCAAATAAAAGAACATCAACTTCGGAAGACGAATCATCACCGAAAAAGAAATGCGAAGGTTCTGCAACTGTAAATCATGCAGAAATATCAAAAGAATTCAACCGACTAAAAGAGCTACTAGAACCTTCATTCCCTTTAATGCCAGCAATTCGAGCACTCGTCCCTCCAGATATGGATACAGACGCTGAAACAACACTCACGGCAAACGAATCAGCAACAGAAGTAGAAAACTTCAACGAATCTACGCCAAAACCAACCAAAGTTACTCCAACAGCCCGAAAATCCTTTCCTGCAGTACGAAGTCCACCTACTCCACTAGCCTTCGAGCCGCAAACGCCACCTATTTCAGAACCAGATACAGAGCCTCAAGAAGAAAGACCAACAGTTCCACAACCCCTGAACATCTTTAACTACAATTTATCTGACGATGTTCCAACTGTGAGTAGAAATTTATCTAACTTCCCTTTTAACATTCGACAAAATGACCGTTTTTTTGAGACTTTACAGCAAATTGGCTTAGCTATTGATAATCTAAAAGATTTTTCATTATCTCCTTCTTCTGACAATCATCTTTTTGCTACCTTTTTACCACATTTGACAAATCGACTCGAACCTTTAATGCTGAAATTAACTGGACAGAAATTCGGTATATTTACCAACTTGAAACAACTTTCAATATACTTAATCGATCATTTTATTTTCGACATTCTGAACATTTGCAAATATCTTTTGACGGACCAACTAACAAAATACGAAAACAACGGGGCTCGACTAAAACACCTTAGATCGACGATTAATATTAACTACATTAACAACCCTAATAACCCAGATGTGATTGCTGAATACAAACGGAGAAGAACTACTCAAATTCAAATTGGCAGTTCAATAAGAGAGATGATGCATACCGTTAACAATGTCACTTCATTAAAAAGAAGCATCATCTATGAAGACCCGTTGTTCGATTGCCACGATGCGATAAGAGTAACACTATTGTGCGCAATAGATGAAATCATGTCAAAAACTGCAATGAGTGAAGCTGAGAAAATCAAAGACATTTTTATTCATACGGTTATGTAAAACCAACTATATATGAACATTTTAACTAAGTAGATTAGTAACTACATTTTTTATTATTGAAGTAACTTTTCTTTATATAAATTTGAAGGCGTTGTAAGAATTGTGATCATTTTGTCTCTATCTTCAATATACTCAACATTTTTTTGCAACAAATCTAAAGCAGTAAAATTTTCGAAATTTCTTAAACTTTCGTTCAAAAGTGAATCGCCATAAGAATGAAGTAAACTAACAACAGTTATACAATCATCGTATACTGCCAGATGCAAAACCGACTCTTTTCGATAATTTTGCTTGTTTAAATTGCAGCCACATTCAACCAAAAATTGAATTACTTTACATTTTCTTTTACGAACAGCAATCATTATAGGAGTTTCGTGATTTATATTTTCCGCTTCAATATCGGCTCCATTTTTTATAATATGTTTTAATAACCATCTATGTTCCATCCAAGTAGACAAATCAATTTCTTCAATGTTTGGAATTATTCGATGTAGAACAGTATTTCCATACTTATCACGATCATTTAAACATGTTGGATCATCTTTTACCATATATATAATTTTATCCAATTGTGAAAGTTTTTTATCAGAAACCAATTTTAACAATTCTGTCAACTCTCCCTTATGTTGAAGCTTTTCTTCAAAATACTGTATTGAGAACTCGTCTTCATCCTTCTTTTCAGAAAAACTCAAAAAAGAACCCATAATTTTAAACTTCAATTTTTTTTATAAAACTTCAACTAACCTTCAATTTTTAAAACTTCAAATTTATACTCAATTAATAAAAAATTGAAGTTATTTTAACTTAAATACCAGTCCAACAAAAAATTAAATCAAAGTTGTGAAATATTATTTTTTAAATATATAACCATATCTTTAAGAATAGATAAGTCATCTTTGTCGGCTTTAGAAACTTCAATTTCCTTTTGAGAACATTTCTTCTCCAAATCTTCTTTCATTTTTACTGCAAGTTGTAATGCTGTTAAATGTTGGTTGTTTTTCTTCAGAGGATCAACATTTGAGCAGGAACTTTCAGAACGTCTCAAAAAATCGCACCAATTGCCAACAGCATAAAAACCATGCAAATGTAAAGACATAACAGCTTTGTGCAAAACACTATTTCCGTCATAATCACAAATAGACAAATCCACCTCATTGCGAAAAAGATAAGAAGTTAGCAATATTTGCCCCTTCTTTATGGCAATCATTACAGGAGTTTCTCCAGCGTTATTTTGCACATTTAAATCCGCATTATTTCTTATAAAAATTTGAAAGAAATGTTCAAAAGTTCCCCAATCTTCTTTGTCTTCGTCCCAATATTCACAAACTTTATGCAACAATGTATCTCCTTGTTCATCTCGTTGCATCAAAACTTCCACATTGTCGCGAACTCTCATATTTATGAACAAACGTAATCTCCAATCTAAACAAGGAGAAATTCTTCTGTCGAAAAGTTTGAAGATATTTCTTTTACTCTTACAGTACCTTCGAAGACCTTCAGTCGGAAAATACAAATCAGGATACTCAAGTTTGTCATTCGTCTTTGCAGCCATCTCAAGTTTGTTGTTCGTCTTTTCAGCCATCTCGATAAAACTAAAAAAAAAACCTTACGGACGGTCTTTTATACAATTTTGACTCTGCGGAGCAGCCTGGCACGTGGTCTTTACAAGCCCCTACGCAGGAGCGCTAGGTTTAGTATGCAACAGGTGGAACCCTAGTATACACTACTCTCAGTGTTCTTCTTTTTGCTTATGCAGGTTGATCCTTGATATTATGTTTCATATATGAACCAGATCTCACCAATGAGAACACAAGTTCCTTCACTACCCAGCAAGTATCCAGTGACTTAAATGTAGCCTGTGAAGCCTTAGATGGCTGCTTAAATATCTTAACTTCCCTCATGACCTACACTTTAACTGTAATTGTGTCATCCTTCTTTTTCTAAAACATACACTAAAACAAAGTTATGGATCTTACAGTTTTGTTTCTTGAAGTATTTCGACCATGGCTGCCATTCTGAACTTGCTTAGTGTTCTTCTTTTTGCTTATGCAGGTTGATCCTTCATATTATGTTTCATATAGGAACCAGATCTCACCAATGAGAACACAAGTTCCTTCACTACCCAGCAAGTATCCAGTGACTTAAATGTAGCCTGTGAAGCCTTAGATGGCTGCTTAAATATCTTAACTTCCCTCATGACATACACTTTAACTGTATTTGTGCTATCCTTCTTTTTCTAAAACATACACTAAAACAAAGTTATGGATCTTACAGTTTTGTTTCTTGAAGTATTGCGACCATGGCTGACATTCTGAACTTGCTCAGTGTTCTTCTTTTTGCTTATGCAGGTTGATCCTTGATATTATGTTTCAAATAGGAACCAGATCTCACCAATAAAACACAAGTTCCTTCACTACCCAGCAAGTATCCAGTGACTTAAATGTAGCCTGTGAAGCCTTGAATGGCTGCTTTATGCCTGCTGGTCCCTAGCCTGACCTGATCATCCAGTTGCATAAAGAGAGTTTTATGCCATTTGTCAATTCATTAGAAGCAGGCCATGAAACAAGTATGCATTTGCTGATGAAGAATTGAAATGATTCAAACAATATCTTAATTTGCCTCATGACCTACACTTTAACTGTAATTGTGTCATCCTTCTTTTTCTAAAACATACACTAAAACAAAGTTATGGATCTTACAGTTTTGTTTCTTGAAGTATTGCGACCATGGCTGTCAATCTGAACTTGCTCAGTGTTCTTCTTTTTGCTTATGCAGATTGATCCTTGATATTATGTTTCATATATGAACCAGATCTCACCAATGAGAACACAAGTTCCTTCACTACCCAGCAAGTATCCAGTGACTTAAATGTAGCCTGTGAAGCCTTAGATGGCTGCTTAAATATCTTAACTTCCCTCATGACATACACTTTAACTGTATTTGTGCTATCCTTCTTTTTCTAAAACATACACTAAAACAAAGTTATGGATCTTACAGTTTTGTTTCTTGAAGTATTACGACCATGGCTGTCATTCTGCACTTGCTCAGTGTTCTTCTTTTTGCTTATGCAGGTTGATCCTTGATATTATGTTTCAAATAGGAACCAGATCTCACCAATAAAACACAAGTTCCTTCACTACCCAGCAAGTATCCAGTGACTTAAATGTAGCCTGTGAAGCCTTGAATGGCTGCTTTATGCCTGCTGGTCCCTAGCCTGACCTGATCATCCAGTTGCATAAAGAGAGTTTTATGCCATTTGTCAATTCATTAGAAGCAGGCCATGAATCAAGTATGCATGTGGTGATGAAGAATTGAAATGATTCAAACAATATCTTAATTTGCCTCATGACATACACTTTAACTGTATTTGTGTCATCCTTCTTTTTCTAAAACATACACTAAAACAAAGTTATGGATCTTACAGTTTTGTTTCTTGAAGTATTGCGATCATGCCTGTCATTCTGAACTTGCTCAGTGTTCTTCTTTTTGCTTATGCAGGTTGATCCTTGATATTATGTTTCAAATAGGAACCAGATCTCACCAATGAGAACACAAGTTCCTTCACTATCCAGCAAGTATCCAGTGACTTAAATGTAGCCTGTGAAGCCTTGAATGGCTGCTTGATGCCTGTTGGTCTCTAGGCTGACCTGATCATCCAGTTGCATAAAGAGAGTTTTATGCCATTTGTCAATTCATTAGAAGCAGGCCATGAATCAAGTATGCATGTGGTGATGAAGAATTGAAATGATTCAAACAATATCTTAATTTGCCTCATGACATACACTTTAACTGTATTTGTGTCATCCTTCTTTCTCTAAAACATACACTAAAACAAAGTTATGGATCTTACAGTTTTGTTTCTTGAAGTATTGCGATCATGCCTGTCATTCTGAACTTGCTCAGTGTTCTTCTTTTTGCTTATGCAGGTTGATCCTTGATATTATGTTTCAAATAGGAACCAGATCTCACCAATGAGAACACAAGTTCCTTCACTATCCAGCAAGTATCCAGTGACTTAAATGTAGCCTGTGAAGCCTTGAATGGCTGCTTGATGCCTGTTGGTCTCTAGGCTGACCTGATCATCCAGTTGCATAAAGAGAGTTTTATGCCATTTGTCAATTCATTAGAAGCAGGCCATGAATCAAGTATGCATGTGGTGATGAAGAAATGAAATGATTCAAACAATATCTTAATTTGCCTCATGACATACACTTTATCTGTAATTGTGTCATCCTTCTTTTTTTAAAACATACACTAAAACAAAGTTATAGATCTTACAGTTTTGTTTCTTGAAGTATTGCGACCATGGCTGTCATTCTGAACTTGCTCAGTGTTCTTCTTTTTGCTTATGCAGGTTGATCCTTGATATTATGTTTCAAATAGGAACCAGATCTCACCAATGAGAACACAAGTTCCTTCACTATCCAGCAAGTATCCAGTGACTTAAATGTAGCCTGTGAAGCCTTGAATGGCTGCTTGATGCCTGTTGGTCTCTAGCCTGACCTGATCATCCAGTTGCATAGAGAGAGTTTTATGCCATTTGTCAATTCATTAAAAGCAGGCCATGAGTCAAGTATGCATGTTGTGATGAAGAATTGAAATGATTCAAACAATATCTTAATTTGCCTCATGACATACACTTTAACTGTATTTGTGTTATCCTTCTTTTTCTAAAACATACACATCTTACGCCACACTGGCCAATATTTTGAATTTTCATTTGTAACTTCTTTTAGCAGTATTGCGTCAGGAAAGTTCTATTTTGTGAAGGCAGTAACTACACATCAATACACTGCTTTTCTGACTGGGAGTTTCTGTATCAAAGTATGATCTTTGAGAAGCTTGCCATGGTTCCTTCTGTTTGATGGAAGATACATTGTATGATGATTCAAATGCAGAAACTTACGAAATTTTTTAATCATTTTCATATACAAAATATACATGACAGCTTTAAATAAGGTACTCTGCTTGTAGTTGCCCACTACATTTTTACTTCAGGCAGTGGAGTGAAAGAAATCGTCATGATGTCCATCACACTGTTTGTTCTCATGCTTCATTGACTTTATCAAATCTCCAGTTTGCTAGACTTAATATAAATTGGCCAATCAGCAAAAGTCTGATTCTCATCTAGTATTTTTTCCCAACCTAAAGAGGCAGTTTCTACACCGTAAAGTTTCGGGAAAAATGAAAGTACCTCACAGAGATCTCACCCCCTTCCCCATCATTCTCTCCTCGAATTTAGACACATTACAAAATCGATCCTGGCTAGAACTGGGGGGGGGGCAAATCTTCAATAGCTCGATCAATTAAGACTGAGGGGCAAATCACTCTATTAATCTTGAACACTTTCTCAATATATATCATAAATCCCTAAAAAATTTATAATCTCGATTATTCCAAGTAGGAGCTGACATAGATGTTAGAAAAATTTTCTTTCCTCAGTCTTGGTTATGTACAAGAGAAATAAATTGGTAAGAAAATCTCAATAAATACTATATGCCAAAAATTTATATGCCTGAACTCAAATGAAATTGTATTGTATCTGTTTCATATGAGCCATTTTTTTCAATTTGTTAATAGCGAAGTATTTAAACTTTGATGTACCAATGACAGAATAAACAATGTTTGAAAGACGACAACTCCATTAGAACTGCATTTTGTCATGCTTTGAAATGCAAATTTTTTCTACAA